GGTTTTCATCTTCACTTTTCTCCTCCTCCTGCTTATCACCATTGCCATCATCGATAGTAGCTACATTTTGTTCATTAGGGATGTATGACAATGAAAGACGAATATAGAACAACGACCTTGGAGGTGTATGTTGAATCTATTTTGATAATAACAAATTTAAGAGCAAAAATGTTTTTGGGCTAAATTAAATTTATTCATAGTTTTTAAAAATAATTTAAAATCCATAAAACTTGAATTTGAACACAAAAATGATTTTCTAGAAAAGAAGTATCGATATTGTTCTTACAATATCGATAACACATGAACAATATCGATATTGTTCTTGTAGTATCGATACCCAAGGTAAAAGAGTATCATATTTGAACACAAAAATGATTTTCTAGAAAAGAAGTATCGATATTGTTCTTACAATATCGATAACACATGAACAATATCGATATTGTTCTTGTAGTATCGATACCCAAGGTAAAAGAAGTATCAATACTCTCATGGAAGTATCAATATTGTCTATTTGTTTTAAATGTGTTCAAATTCCAGTAGGCATTTTTGGTACAGATACTCAAACGAGTATCAATACTACTTTGTATAGTAGTATCGATACCATGACCTTAGTACCGATACTTCCAACCCAACAGTAGAAAAACGACTAGTTTTTATTAGTGCAGTATCGATACTCCAAACCCGAGTACCGATACTCCCTAGTTTGGGCAGTTTTATTTTACAACAATTAAGTCCCAACGGCTCCAAAACATCTTCAACGGCTAGAAATGGTCACAAACACATTCCAACATATAAAATGAAGTTCAAGACACTCAAATCATTTAGTACATTATGATATCCAAGCATTGATCATCAAGAGAAAAGCTTTCATTCTTTATTATTCATTTTCTCTTGTACTCTTGTAAATAGTATGTTTTTAGTGAGTTTAATTTGTAAACACCTTCCTTTGAGAGGTTTCTTGTTTACATTCTTTTTATCCTTTTGGAAAAAGGGGTTGGTTTCTTGTTTAGCCATTGAAAATTAGGGAATTGTAAAAGATTACTCTTGAGCCTAGAAAAAGAAAAAAACAAATTACTGAATTTGTTAGAAATCCTTAGTGTGGAGCTAAGGTAGTGGATGTAAACTTCATTGAGGAAGTTGAGCCACTCTAAATACTTGTGCAATTTTTTTATCTTTTCTTTCCATACTCCCAAAATTTTTATTTAGCTAATCCACCCCCTATTGGCACTTTTTCGGTTGATCGATGGAGCACCATGAATCCCAACAATGTATGACTAATCATACCACCACTCAATGAGAACTGTGAAAACTGTGAAAAAACTAACATCGACTTCTACGATCCATATTGAAGTGGAGGTGTTTATGGTGGAGCACCACCCATCAGATAAGGAACATATAAATCAAATGTTAGATCAATAGGCATGACCATATAATATCCACCATGAGTTTCATAAAATCCTTTGGGCTCTGTACGTAACATTGCAGTGGTGGCATATGAACCGATAGTAGTGGCATCTAAATTGGAAGTTGTGGTATCTTTACGTGGTATGGTAGCATCTGAACGTGGTGCGGTGGCATCTAAACTAGTGGTGTACCCATGTAAACTGGGAGGCTTGAGATGTAACTCGGGGTGCTCATAATTGGGGGTGATAGTGGATGTTGTGATAGTTCTGGTGGTGTTGCTGAGGACGAATCGAAAGCGTCTACTCTTCATCCAAGAGTGGGGGAAGATGATATTATGACGATGGATTTTTTTTTGACAAAGATGAATTGCCCCCTTATGCTCCCTCTGAAAGTAAAAACGACTTCCCATTTTCGTTGAACCGTTCAATATAATCATCTAAAATTGAGGAACTAGTTTCTAACATAAACTATCGAGGGGGCAAGCGTTGATATATGTTCTCCTACATTGATATCCAGTCTTTGTGCTTCATCACTCAATTCACCTCTTTCTTGCCTCGTCTATCAATGTGATTTTTAGATAAAATTATCAAACAATGGAGGGAAGTAAAATCTAGATATCAATTTGAGATTTTTTTTATGTGTCGACTTGAAAGAGGGTTAATTCAAGTATCAATTTGAAAACAAAATATTTAAATACCAACTTAAAAATATTTAATTTAAATACTAAATATATTATTTCAATAAATGCTTGATGGAGAACCGATGTGAAGATTGGTTAATAGAGTAGTTGTTATCACCTTAGTAACTATTATATTTTTCGTTCAAGTCTATATACGCACGTTAAATTTTTGGCAATTTTCCCAATAAAATACCGGTGATCGGTATATTTACCGATCTAACACCGGTCATATTATATTTTCTGATCTAACATCCGTAGCAGTAAAGCGCGCCCCCTGAACCGCGCTATACGCTGATTTGGCGCCACGTGGGTATAGCGCGCCCCCTGCCCTGCGATATACGGTGATCTGACGCCACGTGGGTATAGCGCCGCCCCCCCTGATCCGTGTTATACCTGGGTATCTGACACTTGGGGTATATCGCAGTGCAGGGGGCGCGCTATACCCCTAAATACCCAACCCTTCACGTCCCATCTTCCCTATAAATACCCCCATCCTCAATCACTTTTATCACACCAAATTCTCTAAATTTCTCTCAAATACTCTATCTTTTTAAGGTATATTTTATAATATTTTTACTATTATGTATTTACTTTATTTAATATTTTAATAATATAATTCTTTTGCAGATATATAATGGAAGGCAATCTACTTGATCAACTTGTTCAGCCAGCCCATAGTGTGAGCTTAAAGATTGACCCCGAACAGTACGCACTTGAACAAAATGTGCATACATCTCAATAGCGGCGTCTGAATAATTACTTTGAGCTTCAACCATCATTTGAACATTATCATTGTTCGAAAGTTCGAACGCTGTATAAGTTAATGGCAATAATGATGTTGGAAATCTGTACTGCAATGACGACATTCTTCTGTTACTTCCAACATGAATCTTCCTCGAAATCTTCGTTAACAGCTCCTCAAGAGTTATGTTTCTCTTGAATGATATTTTAACATGCTCATTTGATACGAAAAAACGCCGGTTTCATCTTCTTGAATTTCACCATTATAATAAACAATAGCTGAAAGTCGCGTCATTCTTTGAGTTTAAAAGTGCGTCAATATTATATCTGCAAAAAAAATAACTTAAACAAACCTGATTAAATAAATTATATATGAACGAAAATATAACACAAAATTTTTTTTACACATCAACGTAAATAATTTAAATAATAGAATTTTATATTATTACCTGCACCGCAAAACTATTTCGACGTATGCTCACGCTTTTCAATTTTAAAAACATAAAAATTAATTAAAAATAATTAGTATAATATTTTTTTCAAATAATGATAATAAACAATAAGTATAATTAAAAAATTATAACAAATTTACCTTATAACAAAAAATCGCACGAACTTTTAAATCAAATATAAGAAGATTGCCAGAATTATTACTCGTTGACGGAATTGTTGTATTAATTTATAAGAGAGGAGAGATGCGAGGAGATGTGAGAACCGGAGGAGTGTATTTATAAACATATAAGGCGCGGTACCTACACCGCGTTATATGTAATTATTATATAGCGCGGATCAGGGACCGCGTTAAATATAATTTTGGTACGACGTATAGCGCGGCCCCTGATCCGCGCTATACTCCTACGTGGCGTATAGCGCTGAGCAGGGGGCGCGCTATACTCCACGTGACGCCAAATCAGCATATAGCTCGGTTCAGGGGGGCGCTTTACTGCTACGGGTGTTAGATCGAGAAATATAATCTGATCGGTTTTAGATCGGTATATATATCGATCACCGGTGATTTTTGGGGAAAATCTCCTAAATTTTTAACTGTTTATAATATTTTAAAATTGTTTAAAATAATATATTTAAATTTAAATGTCAATTAATTATATATATTAAATTTTATGTTAGAATTTATTTATTTAAAAATAAAATAAAATTTGATTTAATTTTATGGTGAATAAATATAATATTATATACATATGAATGTAAATTGGTGTCACGTCGGTGTTAATGTTTATGAAAATTAAATTAGAATTTATAAGACTTAATAATTTGTTTGTGTCGTATTGACTGCAGAGCTCGAGGGTTCAGAAACCGAATCCAATAGAATGGAGGAAGCCCAATCTGCAGAGAGGAAATCTTGACCGTCCATATATTTAACCTTAGTTTTGTTCCAGGGTTTATCCTTGGTTAAGTTTCCAGCAACCCTAGGAAATTTTCCCCGGTTATATAAGGCTTCTGAAACTCATCTAGACTTCATCCTCCTCCTTGCTGCAAGTTGCTTCTCTCTGAAAATACTTAAATACTATTTTTATAGTAATACAATTCTATTGTTTTTTTGGCTGCAAGTTGCATATGATGAGGATCATTGTGTATGAGAAGCTCGCCAATATTTTAATGCGAGCGATGTTTGTACCTTATACTTCCATGACTCTGATGCGTTGAGTCTCTAAATTCATTTATTACTTGTCCTACATTCTTTATAGTTTTCCCTATTTTAGTACCTCTCCTCTGGAGTAATGTCGTGTGTCTTTTTCAATCCACAATTGCTTCCTCTGAATTTCTTTGGCTGTAACCTTTTTTTTTTTTTGAGAAATTCTTTGTGAATAACTATTTGTCTGCGAAAGGGTTTTTTTTCTGTTGCCGCTGTGCCTATTTACCACCCGCGCTTAATCATGAATTATGATTTTATTTGCTTCTTTTTACAATGAAAAGCCCAATTTAAACTGATGATGAAACACATGATTACTTAAGAAACAAAATTAAATTTTCATCTATGGGTGTCGTAAGTAAAACGGAATTTGTTTTATTTGGAAGTCTGAAAAAGCCAAACAATATTATCTCAGGAAATACAAGTGCAAAGCAAGGGAAAAAAATTAACAGTGATAGTCACGCAATTGTTCGTATATAGGCAGATAAAAAGTTGCAATTCTCATTCAGCAACACATTTTAGGACTCGAAGTTCTACTCGAGACCTTCCTCCTCGTATTCATTCTCATCTTCGATAGTTGCATCCTGGTATTGCTGATACTCTGCCACCAAGTCGTTCATGTTGCTTTCTGCCTCTGTGAACTCCATCTCATCCATTCCCTCACCGGTGTACCAATGCAAAAACGCCTTGCGACGGAACATTGCGGTGAATTGCTCGCTTACCCTTCTAAACATTTCTTGGATGGATGTCGAGTTTCCAACAAACGTTGATGACATCGTCAGGCCCTGTGGTGGAATATCACAGACGCTGGATTTCACATTGTTGGGAATCCACTCCACGAAGTAGGATGAATTCTTGTTTTGAACATTGATCATTTGTTCATCGACTTCTTTGGTGCTCATCTTGCCCCGGAACATAGCCGAGGCTGTCAGGTAGCGACCATGACGAGGGTCAGCAGCACACATCATGTTCTTGGCATCCCACATTTGTTGTGTCAGCTCCGGGACGGTGAGAGATATGTATTGCTGAGAACCACGGGATGTGAGTGGTGCAAACCCAACCATAAAGAAATGAAGACGTGGGAATGGTATTAAGTTCACAGCCAACTTCCGAAGATCGGAGTTCAATTGTCCGGGGAACCTTAGACAACATGTTACGCCACTCATGGTTCCAGAAATTAAGTGGTTCAAATCTCCAACTGAAAATTGAAAATGTAATTAATGTTAGGTTCAGCTAACCATCCATCAAAATGAAGATTATATCACTCACAGCTTGGAGTAGTGAGCTTCAGAGTCCGGAAGCAAATATCATAAAGTGCTTCATTGTCAAGGACCATGCATTCTCTACCTACTGATGCACAGAGAGGGTTGCATTATAAGGCTCCACCACGGTGTCAGAGACTTTAGGTGAAGGGAAAACAGAGAATGTCATCATCATCCTGTCCGGATATTCCTCTCTGATTTTCGATATCAAGAGAGTTCCCATCCCAGAGCCTGTTCCTCCTCCAAGTGAATGGCATATCTGGAACCCTGGTCCAGAAGTTAACAAACATAAACAAGTAAGAGTCATCAGCCAATTCAAAAATAGAATAACATTGTTTTAACTAGCCACTTTGACTTTATTGCTAACTTCTAACAGTTAGACTCAAGGATTGTTTTCAAACTAACCCTTCCCTAAAAGATTAAGAATTCAGTGGACAGATGAGATTATTTATCATGCTTTACTATTCATTCTTCAACTCTTGAATAAAAGATACTAAGGTGCTCATATCGATGCTATAATTTACTATGTGAATTTTTCGTAGGGGCAACCCATAATAATGTTCATATGATAGCTGGTAAGAGTGGCAAGGACCCTGAGGCTCCACCAAATGCATTAAAAAATTCATCGAATGCCCTAAGATCTAGAGTATTAAAAAATCTTTTCGGTACAATAAAGGACAGCAAGATACATGGATGGAGGAATCACCATCACAACAAGTAAGATATCAACTCATGTAGATAATATGTATATATCACAAAGGTTGATAACCCATGCCCTTCTTTTCCTTCACAGCGGACAAAAAGTAGCTTACTAATCACAGCTCAGTGAGTATCATCTACAAAATATGACTCCTGTTTTAGAAAAAAATACAATAGCTACATTAATATCCAACTAAAGATAAAAGGGTAGATAGTTGACGAAAGGAAGCAATCATTCCATATCATTTTCACCTTTAATTGTTATCAGGAATATGATTCAAGATCTTAGAATTCCTTAAAGTTTATATTGATAGTGAAAATGAGATTGTTTCCTCTCGACTTGGTCATCGCCAAAAGTTTAATAGCAAAAGCAGTTGTATAGCGCTGTCGCGGAAGTGATATGGCAACTCAAATGGATAAGAGTTTCGAGCTTTGCGGTAAAAGGGAAACGCCCATGAAAGTACATTAAAAGATTCAACGAAAAATCCATGTAGATTTGTATAAATCTGCATTTCTAAGAGAAAATGAAGATTATATATAGAGAAAATAACCTCAGTGACCAAAAATTCCATATAATATACGATTTTAACCAACTTTTTCGGATTTGCCAAAATGACCAACAAAATCGCAATGCGATCGCTAATTCGCAACGCGATCTCCATTATCGCAAATTCGCGTTGCATTTTCGCAATGCGATAGTTGAAAATCGCGTTGCGATGGTCTACAGTATCGTTGCGATTTTCCCAATTCGCAATGCGAATAAGTAAATCGCAACGCGAATTGGGAAAATCGCAATGCGAATAAGTAAATCGCAACGCGAATTGGGAAAATCGCAATGCGATACTGACTATCGCAATGCGATAATAAAAAATCGCAACGAGATACTTACTTTCGCAACGCGATACTGACTTTCGCAACGCGAATTGGGAAAATCGCAATGCGATTTTCAAAGCGCCATTAGTATCCTGGCCAAGTATTTTATTTTTAAATTCCAAACATGAATATTAATATATTGGAACACTGAATGTCCACAGTATATCCCGTAAATCGCAACTCATAACCTAAAACCTAAATCAACTCAGTCCCATCTCCATCTCTCACTCTCTCACCCTCTCCGACGAAATCCGTCCCCATCTCCGGCGAAATCGTCTATCTCCATCTCTCAGAGCCACCTCACAATCAGAAATGGAAAATCAACCAAATCAACCAACGAGGGTTAGTTTTTTTTAATTATTTTCTTTTTGAAATTTTTGCATTATTATTAGGTTTTTCATATTGAATTGATGATAAGTTTACTGGTAATTTCAATATATAGATTAACCATTTCACTTAGATGCTTATTAAATCAACCAAGAATCGCAACGCGAAATGCAAATCGCAACGCGGATTTAGTTTCGCGTTGCGATTCTCTCGTTGCGATAGTCATTTTGCGTGGTTGCGATTTTATTTAACTAAGTTATATAAAAAACTTAATCACATGGAATTTAGTCAAATGGGATAGAGAAGGAAAGAAGGCTCAGGCAAATGTAGTGGACCTTGAAATGACATAATTGGATTTTTACAGACAAAAAACAAAGATCCACTGGTTCCAAGAAGGGGATTTAAATACAAAATTCTTTCATCAAAGGTTGAGTCAAAAAAGAAGAAAATACTATAGAGTTATTAAGAATGAAAATGGGCAGTCCTTGACATTTGATGGCATGATGCTGAATTGCTAGATTTCTATGGCAAGCTTATTGGTGTTGTTGACCCTAAAGTTGTGAGCTGCTCTTCTGAATGGCTTAAGGATCTCCTGGGCAACTCCTTGCTGTTGATGCAGAGAGGATTCTTGAGGGAGAGGTTTCAGATAGAGAAATTAGGAAGCCTTGTTTAGGCAAAGGAAAGACAAAAGTCTTGGGCCAGATGGCTACACCTCCTGGTTCTTCAAGGTTGCTTGGGAAATTGTGCACAAAGACTTCCTCAGTGCAATGAGGTATTTTTTCCAGACCCTCATACCTTTTTCCTGCATTCAATACCACTTTAGTCTTAGTGCCTAAGTCTTTAAATGCTAGTATGGCCAAAGAATTTAGTCCTATTTCCTGTTGTTATGTTGTTTACAAAAACTATAACTAGGATTTTGGTCTCTAGGCTAGCCCAATTCTTTCCAAGATGATTTCTGCTAGCCAATCCGCTTTTGTTAAGGGCAGAAGTATCCAGATAACACTTTACTAGCACAGGAAATTGTTAGGGGTTATTCTAGAAAGAACTCTCACTAGGTGTGCAATTAAAGTGGACATGCAGAAAGCTTTGATTATTTAGCTGGGATTTTTTGTTAAATGTTATGGGTGCTAGGGCTGCCTGCTAGGTTCTGTAACTGATCAAAATTTGTGTTACACCCCAGGTATTCAATTGCTCTGAATGGAAGCCTTGTTGGGTTTTTTTCGAGGTGCTAAGGGTTGTTAGACAAGGGGACCCTCTGTCCCCTTATCTGGTTTGTGATAGTCATGAATGTGCTATCCAAATTGCTTGATGCTGCAGCCAAAAACGTAATTTTCAGATTTCATCCTAGATGTAAAAGAATCTCTCTTACACACATCTGTTTTGCTGATGATTTTATTTTGCCATGGCTACATGGATTTGTGCAGGGAGTGACAAGTATTTTAAATTGTGTTTTAATTATTATTGGGCTCAAACTCAATGTTATGAAGACTGAGCTTTTTACTTGTGGATTAATGGGGATGATTGGTATATTCAAAGGACAACTGGTTTTAGGGTGGTCAACTCCCTGTCAGGTACTTGGGGGTGCCCTAGTGACCCGGAAACTCTCTAAGAAAGACTGTGCAGCTCTGCTCGGAAGGATCAAGGACAAGTAAGGCAGTGGTCTAGTAGAAAGCTAAGCTTTGGTGTCGGCTGCAGTTTATAAAAGCAGTTTTGTTCAGTATTTTTAATTATGGAGCATGTAACTCATTTGCCTAAGGGAATCATTCAGGAAATATAAAAGAGTTGTATGAGATTCTTTTGGAAGGGCAGTGATTCTTCTGCTCGAGGTGCAAGGGTTAGTTGGAGCCAGATTTGCACAACTAAGTTTGAGGGTGGTTTGGGACTGAAGAGTCTGCCTGGGTGGAATAAACTTGATGTCTATTACTAATTAAAAACATTTTAGCAGATGTTGGTTCTCTATGGATTGCCTGGATTAAGGCTTACTGTCTTAAGGGTAAGGATTACTAGAACATGATAGCAGACCCACTTCAGTTCTATCGCAATGCGAAATAAAAACCGCAACGACAAAATCGCAATGCGAAATGAAATTGCAACGACAAAATCGCAACGCGAAATGAAAATCGCAATGCGATTTGTGTTTCGCGTTGCGATTTTGTCGTTGCGATTTCATTTCGCGTTGCGATTTTGTCGTTGCGATTTTCATTTCGCATTGCGATAGCCATTTCCGCGTTACGATAGTCTTTCGCGTTGCGATTTTAAGTTTCGTGTTGCGAAAGTAAACTATTCTTCTTCTGGAATGTTTTATATATGTTGTCCTTTTAAATGTTTATATAAGTGCTTACTTCTGGAATGTTATCTGAGCATTTTGTGAACTATGATAGAATAATGATTTGGGTGAATACAATGCTAGTTTGAAACATATTTGTCTTTGTTTAATATCATGTCTGTTTATTACTGATTTATGTATTAATTTTTTTTAGCGGCCCGATAAGGTGGATGCTTTACGTCGGGTTTTCCTTGCACGACGGAGTTCACGCATCAGACGGCGTGGACGTGCTATTACGTCTCCGTTCACCCCAATGGTGCGAAGACTCCGCAAGAAGAAGCCCGACTCACCGGTCATCCCTCAAGAGTCCCCTCCAATCGTTCAAGAGGCCCCTATTCTCCCTCAAGATTCCCCCCACCGTTCAAGAGGCCACTGTCATCGTTGAAGAGGTCCCTCCCACCATTCCAGAGCCCGATTCATATGGGGTAATATATCGAAGTATTGAGAAACCCCCACCGGTTCCGGACATGATAGATGAGAGTTGGCTCTCGTATGAGTTACCGGCTAGTACCCTTCCGGTATCTGAAGTGGAGGAGACAACTACCGGAAACAATTGTGGATAATACCCTTTGGGCTAAGACCGCAGTTGATTTTTATCTACATGAGCGGAGCCAAGGGTGGTTTACACTGACATCAGCAAACTCAACGATGAAATGTTTTTGTTGCTTGATCGGTCTTGGTGGGGTGTGCTATTAGGGGTTGAAGACAGTGGCTATTTGGATGGGGAGGTAAGTCTTATATTTGTCTTATATATGATTTTGATTAATTTGTTTAAAATTAATGTAATTCACTAATATATGTATTTTTTGTAAAACAGCATATCGATGCGTGGGTGTCACGTCTACTAATAATAAGGAAGCTTAGGAAAAATAAAAAAATTCGCTATATACAATAATGCCGACGGCTTTTCACGCAGTTCACTTGAAGAATCAACGAGATGAATCATTTTGTTGGGCAATGGACAAGCTAAACTTTATCCTACATGGTGGGAGGTCGATAAGGTTAGTGTTTATTTTTTAAATTTTTTAAAGGTG